ATCAACCAGGCTCTGCCCACTCCTCTTCCAACAGAGGCTACTGTCGGGGGGTTTAAGGCTTACCTGGAGTAACCCATGTACAACCCTAAACCGTAACCTAAAAACATGTGATTAGTGCCGTTTTTGTATCTTTACAGTCTTTAAAGAGTCTAGGAGCGTTCGTTCCAGTGTTAAGGGTAAGTTAATGGATGGGATCTAGAGTCTGGAGTTTAGTGCTTCGGGCCTTTGGATTGGGGTTTGAGGCGTGGGATTAGGATGTGGGGGCTTTCCATAAATCAGGGGTGGTGCCTTTTGGGGAGGCCCATGTAATAAGGAATATAGTATATCGGGATTCACATGGGCTTACCTATTTATTTCCAGCTCTCGGCGCCACTCTGGGCTTAGGTCGTTCTAGGCATGCGGGATGCCAAGGGGTCAGTCAGTAGCGGGTTTAGAGCTAAGGACTTACGGAGTTTGAGTTTCGGGATCTAAAACTTATAGGTTAAGGCTTTACAGTTCAGGGTTCAGGCGCTCTAGCTTCAACAAAACAGTGCTTGTGGTCAGCCTAAGGTTCGCCTCCCTCTTCACATGCAGGTGTTTTCAGATGGGTGCCCCGTCCTGCGGTGTGCGCATATGCATGACGACATATAGGTACTTCCATAAGCAGACCCAATTTCGGCAAAATTATTCTTATGAGGACACCCCAAAAAAGAGGACCCCTAGCTTTGCTAATAGTCGGAACCGCCGCATACTAAAAGGTAACTGCGGAAAACGCCCTGACCAGGAAGATTTTGGGCTGAGGGCGTCGGATCTAGGTTTAGGGTTTAAGGCATAGGAGCCAGCCCTAAACCCTAAGACCTAGGGCTTAGTCTAACTTGAGGTCTACGGTTTAGGAGGCCATGGGTCTTTTCATACATTTTATAGGAGTTGATGATGCTCTAAGCCCGAAGCCCTGCGGTTGCTGGAAGTTGAAGCGCCGTGAACCTTCAACTTACTGGTCTCTCAGGGGGACTGGGAGAGTGGATCCTATCAACTATTGCTAGAAACCCCCTAAGCCCTAAACCCTAAGCCCCTAAACCGTAAACCCTAAATATCGCTTAGCCTTTCCCTGCATGGTCACATTTTCCTTTTCATTTTCAATCTGTTTGTCCCTCTACCCTAGAAAAAACTCAAGTACGGGTAAAACCCTAACATAGGGTTGAGGTAAGGTTGAGGGGTCTAGGGTTTAGGGTACCCTAACCCGAAACCTTTTGTCCCCAGATATCCCTGAACAAAAAGGCTTATATCCTACCCTACTCCCTCAGCCCAATAAACCCCTATAAGCCCTTCCACCATTGGGTTCTTGCAGTACTAGTCCTCGTCGTCGTGGCGGCGGCGGCGGCGG